AGAGAGGGCCGGGGATCACGATCCCCTATGACGGACACGCAGGACTGGAGGCGAGGGGCAAACAACTCCCCTGCCAATGTTGCACACCCCTAATTCTACCGGTATTTTACTTTGCTTGCTCCGTATCGAGAAAGTGTTGGGAAATCACAACATACCTTTAACATACATAAATTCGTCTAAGACCTTTTTCACATATGTGACGCTCGCTAGCGAGCGCGTCCCTAGGCCGACTTTACTGGTGCCTCAGCTGCTGATTAACTCCCTTTTTATTGTCATAATAAGTGATTATGACTTTATTTTAAGCGTCCACGTGTTCCATTAAGGCTTGCAGGCTACAGGTCCACTGGTCGCAGGCTGCGCGACTAGCCGTATGGAGCTTCCGCAGCCTACACCTCTCCTGTTGGGCTCTCGCATTCCCGTCCGAGTGTTGGTGTGTCCGGCCGCGCCAGAGCGAGCGCCAGGACCCCGGCCGCCGCCGCCAAACGCGACATTTTCCGACCGTTTATACGGCCGCGGATAAAATTTAAACGCCTGGTATATCGCCGACCGCCGCGCGTTGCAGTGCTGCGGACCCTCGTGCGTGCGAGAGAGATAGAGAGAGGGGGAAGGGGGCGGACATAGCACTAACGCCCCCACAGGAGCGCACACTCTACTCCTCTGCCCGCTCAGGTTCCTTTCTAAAGCACCCCTCCTCCCCCCTCTCTCCCCATGATGCAGTTCCCGTGCCACACATATACACACAAAGGCCAGCTCATTGGCACAACCCACGACACAACGGTCGGGCCCGACCGGGGTCTGTATCGCTTTAGACGTTCGGAATGTCTTCAATTTCCAATCAGAACACCCAAGCAATCCCATACAGTCCACCACCGTGACCTCGGGCAGCCTTAACAGGAACACAAATTGCAGGCATACAATATTTTGCCAATTCATTGCGCTCCCCCTGTACTCTCCCCCCTCCTCCCCCACACCCTCTCCGTGGAGAGCGTCTCTCCCCGCCCGCTTCGCATATGCATACGTCCGCTTACGGCTTTATTTACAACCATTCAAATATTTGTGCAGCCCAGCAGCGGGGCCATAAAGAACCGCCCAGCCACGACGCGACGCGACGCCACGCCTCGACGCGCCGCGGCGTTGTTGGTATTGATTGAAGGTGAGAAGTGCTCACAATTATCCACGCCGTGGGCGTCGCTCCTCGCGTCGGTCTCTCTCTCTCTCTCTCTCTCGCTCTCCCCGCAGCGGGGCGGCGCAACTATAACACTCCATCTCCCTCACTCTGAATAGAGGATCCCGCTCAGTGACCTCCCACGCCCCACGAAAACGCGCGCGCCCGGCTCCGTATGGAATTCCCTTCTTGAAATGCGCTATCTGGCACTGGCATTCGATTCCTCTTCCTCTGTGCTACAAAAATCTTGCACCTGTTTTCATCCTTTTGTACCCCCGTCGTTCTTTTATAATTAGCTTTTATTTCCTGGCCAAAAAGGCCCGGGTATGCCATACTTCATGTCCCTGAGACTTATTGATGTAAATGAGACTTAAATGTAGATGAAGACTGCTTTGCATGTGCTGCATTATGAGATGCAACGACTTCCGCATTGTTGCGACTTTTGGTCCGCTCGCGGATACTCATCTTCCATAATTGCTCGCAGCCTAAAACCCGCCTCTGCGTGATGCACCCCTATAGCCGCTGTGTGGCGGTGCGCCACGGCGGTCCCAGCCGTTTTCTCGTGTGTGCTTGCCATTGCTGCGCAAAATGAACTCGTTAATCGAAAAATTAAGGAAGACGTCCGCCTGGCGCGCTGGCGCGCCCATGGCGTGCGGGCCACCCGTTTGTCTGCGGGGGCCGGCGGGGGCCGGCGGGGGCCGGCGGGGCTTGACACGGCCGCGCCGCTCAGACTGAAACTGAAGGCGAGACCCCGTCAAGTTAGGTTACGACGCCGCTGCTTTGGCGGCGGCCGGCGGCCCGGCGGCGTCATCGAACCACCGGACTGCCTGGACTTGCACTGGCAGCTTCGGGAAAGGGTTTCGGTCTCATGACCGTGGCCGAAGCAAGTATTACGGGTCATCACGTTTGGAAGAGATCCCTCCGCCAGTGGCTGGCTCTGCTTAAAATTGCCCGATTAATTAGAAAAACATACACAACCTCGGTCTGAGCAAAATAAGGATGGAATCCTGTGCGCACACTCACAGCCTCTGTGTATGTGTGTGTGCCTGTAAGAGAGAGAGAGAGAGAGAGAGAGAGAGAGAGAGAGAGAGAGAGAGAGAGAGAACCAGGCTTGCCTCCATGCCCGTGTTATCTTTGATTCCATCGCAAAGTCCGTCCTTCTAACTCGTATATAGGTGTATGCCCTGGTTACATTCAACCTCTCTTGTTTTCGATTCTCCTCTTTTTACGCCGAAAAATAGAATTCATCTTCTTCATGACGCCCGTGTCTTGGTATCTCATCTTCTAAAACACTATCATTATTACTTCAACACCAATCATGTAAACTCGCAATATAATTAATTGCCGCATCGTCGCAAGACGATCAAGAGTGTTTATTTTTCGCAGTGTGTTGCATACCGCATGCTGCCATGCTGCCCTTGCCGAGTGCAGTCCTGCCGGCCAGAGGCAGAGCCAGAGGCAGAGCCAGAGGTCGCAGAGGCTGCAGTTCGACACGTCTGATTAGCCTGTTTGCCGCCAGATTAGCTGGCCGGACATTCGGCAGGACTCTGACAGTAATGACATCTTGATTGGGCGGCCGACTGTTGGAGTGGGGTGGGGTGCAGCGCGCTGCGGAGCGCTGCGGAGTGCGGATGGCCCATCTCCCTGCCACAGATTCTCACGTCCATCAACAGGGCAGTCGTCGCCCTTTTTGGAAAAGCAGGCGTTCTGCCTCTGCCGCGGGGGCGACGCGGGGGCAGTTTGCAAATATGACGGCTTTCTATTGGAGCATTTACAACTTCACCCACTCATGTTCGTGTATGGAAGACATCGGCATTCCTTGTGTAAGTTATTTCAATGATTTCTCGATATCTCACAACTTTCTTGGTATATTGTGAATTGTTCGTCCGACGTGACATTCGCGCGCTTGGCGCACATCAATTCTAATTGTTTTTCTTTAGCCCGTGATGCAAGTTATTCTCGTTGCCCAAGGGGGGCGACCCCCTGCATATGTGCCTTGTGTAGTCAAGTCCTCCGTCCTCCTGGGGGAACCCCATGGCTTTCTTTTCGCGCAAAATAACGGAGCTGCGCGCGCACGAGTCGGGGGGTGTCGGTCCCGAAAAATATTAGGCGTGCATTTAAATGTGATTTACGGCGGCCCGACGCGAAAGTCAGAAGTTTTTCTGAACTTGTTGGGGTCGGGGGCTGCCGTTGCCGTTCGGCCGTTGCCGTTCGGCCGTTGCCGTTCGGCCCCATGGAGCGGGGGCATTGTGCCACCGGCCGTCATCTCTGCGTGACGGCGTTACGTGCGTGCCCGGGCCGAAGCGAGAGAGAGGGCCGGGGATCACGATCCC